AGCCTCCTCGATATTAGCTTCTTCGACTTGAAGTTTATCGAAATCATCCATCTTGATGTACACAGGCACATTTCTGTTGTTTTCTTCAAATATCTTAGTCATGCGGTTGACAGCATATTTAGTGTTTCGACCAAACCTTCGAACCATTCTTTTAAACCATCCTTCTTSYGATTCATCTTCGCGCTTCTCAAGATCCTCAAACTCGTCATCAACTGTTTGATCTAAATCAGCTCGGCCTTGTTCTGTAGTTGGATCAAAATCCGTATCAGGTAGTGGTTGATATTCTGCCATATTATGTTTATAATATATCTTATGTATAATGACACTAGAAAGCAGATTTAATAAGGCCGTCGAGGAGCAAGAAATTCAAAAATGGRGTGAATTAGAGAAAGGCGTTATTTATGAAATTATTAGATTTAATCAGGTTTCTTAAAGTCGTTCTAGAAGATGATGAATATCAATACACAGTATGGGCGCCAAAAAGGCTTGGCGAAATGCTTTTGCAAGATACTTATACTCATGTTAGGCCGAAGGGGAAGAGAATGTCCAAGTCAGGAAATCAATATTATGATTTTGACATTGCGGATCTAGATTGAAAATTTTTTGAGAATCCAAAAATTAGTATTATATATGAGGTGTTGTCTGTGTAATAAGATTTTAGAGCGACCTTGGATAATAGAGAGACTTAATTGTCATGGTAACGATGTTTTCTACCACTATTGCCTAGAGTGTTCCAAGAAGATATTTGATGATGAAATAGGTATTGTCGAAGAAGATGTTAATTAGGACATTCAGTATAGACCTAAAAAATGGGGTTATTAAACCCCGCTTGTTTTTTTTATCAAAAATTTACAACAATTTGCTAGCTCCATAAACAACCAGCCCCATCCCGCCAGCCACATAAGCAATTTCATATCTCTTCTGACTGGCCGACGGTGTATAATGAAATTCCGGTTCTTTTTAATCAAAAGCCGGATGCGCTCGTTTATAGAGCGACAGAGCTTGATCTGTTGAATTCAAATTCTCATCAGCCTGCTTCTTTTTCAAATATTCTGATTCTAACCAATCTTGGTATTGCTGTCGTCTTTTTCTCCAAGCGCCCATTTCTTTTTCGTATTCTTCCATAGCCTTATCATGACGAATTCTTTCTTGATCC